TAGATATCACTTTCTTTTTTTTTTTTTCCTCTTTTTTTTTTTTTCCTGTGAACAGCATTATAAATGAAGGATTTGTACTTGCAGTCTGAGCTGGTGTGTTTCCAGGAGCATTTCTCAGCTTGCTTGTGAGGCAGCTTTTGCTTGCCTGTGAGTGTCCAAACCAGAAGTGTTGAGCAGTAGTAGCTGCTGTTAGGAGGGAGAGCAGGGCTGGGGCAGTGCCCCAGGAGGGAGGATCTGCTCCATCCCTGCTTTGGCCAGGCTCCCAGCAGCACCCAGGGATGGTACAGCCTAGGCTGAGAGGGTGGGAGCAAGTTTCGATTTTACCGTGTCAAAGCCGAAGCTCAGAAACATCTGTCTCTTAGTGCTGGCGATTGCTGACACTCCTGACTGCGTGAGCTCGTTTCCTGCCTTTTCCGGGTAAAGAACGACCGTATCAATGCAAGGAAGCTAAACATTTTAGAAGAAAGGAATAATTTAATGTAGATTGGGACAAGTGTGAGAATCAGGCTCATGGGATGACTTCACAGCTCACTCAATGTTTTATTTGGTACTTTTAAATGCTATTTTGCTTAATAATAGCATTACAGCTTGATTAGAGTTTTTGTGCTGACTACAAAAACATCCCAAATCACTGTTTTACATTCCACATCATGCAGGAAGTCTGTAAACTTTCTAAAAGACAAGCTGAGGTAAGGTAAAATCAGCCCTTATCAGAGCATTGGAATTAATTGAAAGAGTTTCTTAATTAATGAGGCCCAAGGCTTTGACAACCCAGGTACTTCCAACAAATTGCTCCTTGTTATGCCTTCAGATGGGAACACGCCACATCCAGATGTTCAGGGACAGCTGGGTTGGGAGGTTTGTGGGGCTCTGATGTCTTTAAATACAAATTCTTTTTCCTCCTTCACCACAGCCCTGCAGTGAGGCTGCACACCCTGGAGATCACCCCAAGCCTGGTTTTGTGCTCTTTCGTGTGCTTTTTCCTGTTCTTTCCCTGCAGTTCACACCTGCTCTCAGCCCTTGTGCAGCCGTCCATCCATCTGAGCCCAGCCCCTGCAGCCCCTCTGGGCCCTTCCTTGTAGTAGACCTGGCTCAAAGCTGAGAGCAGCTCCTGTAGGATTCTCTGGGCCTTTCCTAGCAGTTAGACCTGGCTCAAAGCTGAATCCAGCCTCTGTAGGATTCTCTGGGCCCTTCCTAGCAGTTAGACCTGGCTCAAAGCTGAGAGCAGCTCCTGTAGGATTCTCTGGGCCCTTCCTTGTAGTAGACCTGGCTCAAAGCTGAGAGCAGCTCCTGTAGGATTCTCTGGGCCCTTCCTAGCAGTTAGACCTGGCTCAAAGCTGAATCCAGCCTCTGTAGGATTCTCTGGGCCTTTCCTAGCAGTTAGACCTGGCTCAAAGCTGAATCCAGCCTCTGTAGGATTCTCTGGGCCCTTCCTAGCAGTTAGACCTGGCTCAAAGCTGAGAGCAGCTCCTGTAGGATTCTCTGGGCCCTTCCTAGCAGTTAGACCTGGCTCAAAGCTGAGAGCAGCTCCTGTAGGATTCTCTGGGCCTTTCCTAGCAGTTAGACCTGGCTCAAAGCTGAGAGCAGCTCCTGTAGGATTCTCTGGGCCCTTCCTAGCAGTTAGACCTGGCTCAAAGCTGAGCCCAGCCCTGCCCTCACCCAGGACAAGGGGCAAGCTGGGCTGCAGTGCTGCTGCTTTCACAAAGCTCCCGCCAGGCTGATGAGTGTTGGTTCAGGAGCAGCTCTCTCAGAGCCTCATCAGATTCTGGCTGTGCTCACCAGAGCAAGAGCAATTTCCAGCCCACAGGTGCAGGGACCTATGCAGGGTATTTCAGGTTTCAGTGAATCTTGTACATTTTGTTGTAGAAGAGATTACTTTTTTTTCCCTTTTTCATTTCTAAGTCATAGAGGATTCACATTTTGTCTCGCCCTGCAGGGGTTTCTGGAGAAAGACTGAACTAAAACCCAGAGACAGGGTTTCTTAGAAACACGACATCAAAGAAATTGGAGAGAAAAAACCATATCTGTATGATCATTATCTTCTTTTGGATTACTGTGGGAAAAACCAAACAGTTTGTTTTTGGGGGGGATGGAACACCTTTCCCACATGGAAAGAACTGGGTTTGTTCAGCCTGGAGAGGAGAAGGCTCCAGGCTGACCTAACTGCGCCCTTCCAGCACCTGGAGGTCCTGCAAGGTGGAGAGGAACTGTTCACCGGAGCAGGCAGTGGCAGGAAAGGGGGTACGGCTTCAAAGGGAAGGAGGGGAGGTTTAGAGCAGACATTGGGCAGGAATTGTTCCCTGGCAGGGTGGGCAGCCCTGGCACAGGTGCCCAGAGCAGCTGGGGCTGCCCCTGGATCCCTGCAGTGCCCAAGGCCAGGCTGGACACTGGGGCTGGGAGCACCTGGCACAGTGGGAGGTGTCCCTGCCATGGCAGGGGTGGCACTGGAGGGGCTCTGAGGTCCCTTCCAACCCAGCCTTTCTGTGATTTTTGCCCATTTCCCCTGGTTTGCTCCTTGGCCCTTCTGCATTTGTCAGTGACAGTAAGGGCACAGCACTGCTCTGGATCTCTGCCAGGGCAAACACCGAGACAGAGCGCTGCAAATCTGAATTCTCCCTGAGCAGAGAAACTCTCCAGGGAACATTTTCTGGCTTAAAGACTGCTGAGAAATACTGATTTCAGAGTGGCTTTACATCTGAAAAGCCTCCTCCGCTCCCCTTCTCCTCCTGCAGAATGGTGAGCCACCTGCAGCCAGGCAAAAGGGTGGAGGCACCAGGAAATAAGGTCCATGCATTTTGGACACGAATGCACCTGATGAGGAAATCACTTCCAAACTGCTCCGTTTACCACACAGATTATTCCTATTTCAGGAATATTCTGTGCAGAATGCCTGTGCATGCCTGCTTTGGGGGATGAGGGATGACAGCATCTCTTTTGTAGGAATTATCTGGAGCTTTAAAGCTGTTCCAGTACACAGAACTCTTTTGTTTCTGTAATTGATGCTGTCCAGTCAGGGAAAAGAAATGTGTCTTTGGCTGGAAAAGAAAAAATACTCAAGAGCTGCATCATATTTCCTAGGAACAGGAACACCATAGCAACAGTTGTCTTTCAGTGCGTCCCTTAAAGGCTCTCAGATGGCTGAGCTCTTCTGCTGGAAACCCAGCACACGTGAGCTTGGCAGATAATTACACTAAAAACACACATACACAACACATCTTTTGTCTGTATTTATGTTTTCCCATGACCACATGGCACATTATTTCTCTCCTGTAAAAGGAATTTTAATGGGGAGTTTATTGGTTGAGCTGCTTCGGTTTGATAATCTCTGATGGAATACTTCATTTGGGTGGGAAGTTTTATTGTGTGTGTGTGTAAAATAATAGAAAATCCCAAACATATGTGAAAGACTAGTTTTTATTAGATAAATGTGCTGTAGAAAAGTTTTGGAAAGATATCATTCCTTTTAGTATTTTTTTATAATCAATGAATTTCTTTCAGCTTGGAATTTAATTAATAGTAAATTGAGATTGAAGCAATAACGCAGTATCTCAAGCATCATAATTAAAACTTTTTGATTAATTTTTTTCCTTCAGTTTATGAAAATGTCAAGTCTATCCAAAATCGAGTGAGGAAATATGTTTGAAAATTCTTCTAGGATGAGAAAGCTTTTTCCTGCCTAGCTCTGTTCTACTTATTACATATTAATACTGCCTGGCTCCCTTTGCTGGGTGGGGCTCTTTTGTCATTCTTTTATGAGAACTTGCATGGAAAGTTAAAACACATGCTGATTAATTTGAGTGGCCAAACCACCCTGTCCTGCCTGCATTGACTCTGTCCAGGTCTAACACAGATCCTGGTGGAGTTACAGTTCAAATGTTCCTAACAATTGCATTGCAATGCGTCCACAAGAGATGCCAGCAGGCAGAGGCTGAGAGCAGAGCTTTGCCCTCACACTGGGTCTGTGCTGGGGTTTCCATGCTGGGGTGTCAGCCCAGCTCCCTCAGCAGGCACTGCAGCTCCATCCATTGCACAGAGCCAGTGATGGATCTGTCATTTCAATGGCTGTGAACGGCTCTGGTGGGTGGGTTCTCTGGTTTGCTGGGCCTCCCTGCACAGGGGTGCTTGCACAGGCATGGGAATGACTGGGAGCATCACTGGGAGAGAGTATCGCTGCCAGTATCACTGTAGGCATCACTGAGAGCATTGCTGCTGCATCCCTGGGAGCATCACTGCAGTATCACTGTCAGCATCCCTGTGAGCATATCAGGGCCCTGCCAGTTGCTGGGCTGAGCTGCCCAGGCTGCCCAAGCCCTGCAGCCACAGCAGGAACTGCTGCTGCTGGGGACCCGGGCTGGGACACAGGGCAGGGACACTGTGGGCAGGGCTGGTTGTGCTGAGTGTGACACCAGCTCACAGCTCTGTCCTGCTCTCTCTGAGTGTGCTCAGTGTGGCACCAGCTCACAGCTCTGTTCTGCTCTCTCTTTGCTCAGTGTGGCACCAGCTCACAGCTCTGTTCTGCTCTCTCTGTGTGTGACACCATCTCCCAGCTGTGTCCTGGTCTCTGTGCTCAGTGTGACACCAGCTCACAGCTCTGTTCTGCTCTCTCTGTATGCTCAGTGTGACACCAGCTCACAGCTCTGTTCTGCTCTCTCTTTGCTCAGTGTGGCACCATCTCACAGCTCTGTTCTGGACTCTCTCTCTGTGTGACCCCATCTCCCAGCTGTGTCCTGGTCTCTCTCTCTCTGTGTGACACCATCTCCCTGCTGTGTCCTGGTCTCTGTGCTCAGTGTGACCCCAGCTCACAGCTCTGTTCTGCTCTCTCTTTGCTCAGTGTGGCACCATCTCACAGCTCTGTTCTGGACTCTCTCTGTGTGTGACACCATCTCCCAGCTGTGTCCTGGTCTCTCTCTCTGTGTGTGACCCCATCTCCCAGCTGTGTCCTGCTCTCTCTGTGCTCAGTGTGACCCCAGCTCACAGCTCTGCTCTCTCTCCTGCTGCAGCTGACGAGAGAACACCAGGTGGCCCTCTCCTCCATCACTTACATCGGCTGTGCTCTGTCCATCCTCTGCCTGACGATCACCCTGGTCACGTTCGCCGTGCTGTCGTGAGTAATTTTAACTTCATCCCTGCTGGGCAGCCAGCACTCAGCAGGGCGAGCAGGACCCCTTCAGCTGCTCAGGATAAAACAAAGGCTATTAATTCTACAACCTTCCTTAATTAGATCCTGCACACGTATTTGTAACACTTGGTTGGTTATTTCTAAATTACTTTCGTTTCCTGAAATGGGGTGGTCTTTATATAGCCAGCTATTTCAGTCTCGTGAGAGATTTTGGTTTTTTTACCTGTCCATGCTTTGTTATAGTTCAGGAATCTTGTAAAGAGCCTTGTAGGAGGCCTTGGTCCGGACTGCAGTACAAGGTGAGCAGGGACTGCAGGACCACCCCCTCTGCCCCCCACATCTCTGGGGTGCTCAGGGTACACAGACAGCCCTTTCTGCTGTTCCACTGCCCTGTCTGTGAGGCAGGGTGTGCAGAAAGGAATGCCCAGTAAGGAAGTCGCAGTCAGCACTGGCTGCCTGACTTTATTTTCACACAGCTTGTACACAATTACCTCATGCAGCCCACGTTTATGTTCAATGTCTCGCTGTTCTCCATCACGCTGCTTTCTGTGGTGCTTTACTGGGGTGAAGGACACTGTAAGCAGTGTGAAATTCTCTCCATGGCTCGTGGTTAGGAACCTCTGCACCTCCTGCCCAGAGCAGGGCAGCCCTGTGAGAGCTCTCTGTGCTGGGAGGGTTTCTGCCCCAGGGCACCCAGGACCTTTATTCCTATTTATGTTCCCCTGGTGACAAATGACTTTGAGGCCCAGCTGGGCTTCATGCAAACGTTTCTGGAAAAAAGCTTTCATAAAGGTTTGTGTCTAAATAAGAAACAGAAAACCTGACTAAGGGTGAAGTAACTTGTCCAAGGCTGTGCAGCACTTTGGGAGTACAGCAAGGAGTGGAATTCTTGCCTCCTTTCACACACTAAGCCATATTGTTCCCACTTAAGAGTTTGATTCTTGTTTTCTGTGCCTGAGCGTGTATTTTGGACATGCTGTTAAGAGGCCAGTTTCTAGGGAAAAGGACTAGCTGAATCTCAGTAAACTGATTGCAATGCTTGTTTTTTTCCAGACCCCGTATTATTTCCAAGTTTTGAGATCTGTGTTGGTCATACTTGAATTAAGAGCATAATCTGTGGCAAAACCCTCTCTAAATGTCCAACATCTGCCTATCTGACATTGTGCTGTTGGCATGTTTGGGCTAAGGGGAATGATCTGCTCCACTTTAGTCTGAGGGCAAAATTGGATGTTGGAGTGTTTAGAAAGGAAAAGGGAGCAAAAGGAGGAGGTGTTGCTGCAGCAGGGCTGAAAACTCCTCAAGCAGCTGGAGGCAAACAAGACTTGGAAGAGAGCTTGGAGCCAGCTGACTGTCACAGGGGTTAAGCACCCCACCTACATACAGCATCCTTCAAACTGCCAATTGAAAATAATTTGATTATCTTTTCACTGGAGAGCAGGGTCTCGTTAAGCAGCTGAAGCGGAATTTTGCAATGTGGTGTTGGATGACTGTGACATAAGTGCGGAAGAATCTGGCAAGTTCTTTGCTCCTCCATGTCCTGGCAAGGGCAGCCCCTTCCCGGGGGACGGCGAGCTGGGTGACACTGCCCAGCCTGTGGCACATGGAGCCCCTCAGAACAGAACCACTGGCACCAGCAGAGCATCCCTGAGTTACCTTTGGGATCTCAGTACTTCTTGTGCTCTCCCTCTCCATTCCCGTTCCATGGAGCAGGGCAGCAGGAGGGGGCATTGGAATAGGAACCTGTTATCACCAGCACTGTTTGTTTTTCAAAGGGAACAGAATTTAAGGCAAGGCCTGAGATGTTCAGATCAATGTTTTTGTTTTCTGTTTCTTATTTTGGGATGAGAACAGAAACACGAGGTCAGCAGACTTCCAGGAGAGCCTGTTCTTGTCAGATTTCCAGCTGGTTTCTGAAAAGCCAAGGGAGATATGTTCAAATGGTGTTGAAACCGCAGTCAGGTTCCTGTCAAGGCAGGCACTGCCCATCTGTGTATGGAGCTATTGTTCTCAGAGGTTATATTTGTACAAATCAGAGTAGGAACCAATGTCATTTCCCAGAAAGGTGAATACCAACAAAATAAACCCAGGAGCTCTGGCACAGAGTGGGCACAGGTGCCACGTGCTTTCTGTGAGGTGTGAGCTCTTTGTCAGCCCTCCAGGACCAAGCCCTTGCTGATATTCTGCCGCTGGCCATCGCTTTGCCATGTGCAGGTGGATGTTCTGTGCCTGCAGGGGACAGAGGGATGCCTTGCCCAGGTGCTGCCCTGCCCAGGTGCTGCCCACGCAGGGGTGCCCTGCCCAGGTGCTGCCCATGGAGGGGTGCCCTGCTCAGGTGCTGCCCACGCAGGGGTGCCCTGCCCAGGTGCTGCCCACGGAGGGACGCCCTGCCCAGGTGCTGCCCACGGAGGGATGCCCTGCCCACACAGGGATGCCCTGCCCAGGTGCTGCCCACGCAGGGACGCCCTGCCCACGCAGGGACGCCCTGCCCAGGCTGCCCACGCAGGGGTGCCCTGCTCAGGTGCTGCCCACGCAGGGGTGCCCTGCCCAGGTGCTGCCCACGGAGGGACGCCCTGCCCAGGTGCTGCCCACACAGGGGTGCCCTGCCCGGGTGCTGCCCACGGAGGGACGCCCTGCCCAGGTGCTGCCCACGGAGGGACGCCCTGCCCAGGTGCTGCCCATGCAGGGACGCCCTGCCCAGATGCTGCCCACGCCGCTGGCGGGAGGGCTGCAGAGGCCCCGGGGTCAGACCAAGAGCCCGCTCAGTGCCCCGGGGCCGTGCTGAGTGTTTCTGTGCCCGCAGGTCCGTCAGCACCATCCGCAACCAGCGCTACCACATCCACGCCAACCTGTCGAGCGCCGTGCTGCTGGCCCAGGCCCTGCTGCTGGCCAGCTTCCAGTTCAGCCCCGCAACCGTGAGTCTCGGGGGTCCTGGGCAGCCCCGGGCAGGGTGGGACACGGGCACGGCCAGGGGAGATCTGGCTTTAACAACCCTAGCCAAAAACCATCCTGCTGCAGGGGAGCTCCTCGGGCAGGGCACCAGCTCCAAACCATTAAACTGGCACCCAAAACAGCCCAGTTAGAGCCAGACAAATAGGCCAAGTTAACTGCATCGCATACCACTACACCCAATTTCTTTCCCCTGTTAATTTTAAAAACGCAATTTAAAGTAACACGGGGTCTTTGATGGAAAGTTCCACCTGAAAAGCAGAAGCAAAACCTGATTTTACAATAAACTTCCACTGTGTTTGTGCTGGTAAAAACTCGGCTAGCCTTGTGACCAGCTGCTGCTCCACATTGTTTTTCAGAAGCAGCCAGTGGTTTCTATTATTGGGGGTGGTGGTGGTGGTATTTTTTCTCAGTAGAAGTAAATATGAGGTTTGCACATTGTTCGTTTTGCCAATACAACAGCTACCTAAATTTATATTCAGCTCAAATGGGATCCCTTGAATTTCTGCTACGTTTATAAGTAACTGTAATGCCTGGTTTGCACAGGCAGTCATTACCTGAGGACCTAAAAGCACTTTGGAAAACTAAGTTCATATTCTTTTGCTGTTTAACATGCGGGTGGGTCCTGAGTGAGCCATGCAATGTGCAAGGGAGAAAATGAGGGGGGGATGGTTCAGGAGGAAAGTGAAATTGAGACATTGGAAAGCAGCAAAAGATGAAACTGAAGACAGTAGAAACCAGGCATGAAAATAATCCTCTTCAAGTAGAGAGCTAAAACCCCGTTGAAAGGACATGGGCTCGAGGGCAATGGGAGGTTCACCCAGCATGACAGTGTCAGGTATTCTCACAGGGCTTTCTTTTTCACCCGTCCCAAATTGTCAGACAATTCGGCTGAGTCACTTCAGATGGTGTGTGAAAGCCTCTTTACAGCTCAGCAAGGCCAGCAGGGCCTCAGTCTGTTCCTGGGGTGGAGCTCCAGCTGTGCCCTGCTGTGGGGTGGGATGGAGCTCCAGCTGTGTGTCCTGCTGTGGGGTGGAGCTCCAGCTGTGCCCTGCTGTGGGATGGAGCTCCAGCTGTGTGTCCTGCTGTGGGGTAGGATGGAGCTCCAGCTGTGTGTCCTGCTGTGGGATGATGTGGAGCTCCAGCTGTGTGTCCTGCTGTGGGGTGGAGCTCCAGCTGTGTCCTGCTGTGGGCTGCAGGCCCCATATTCTCCAGGTACCAGCCCCAGAGCCACCCACGCTCATGACCTGCCCTGGTCGCACCCAGGCCCTGCTCATTCCAGCTTGTGCAGCTCTCACACAGGCTCAGGCTGCAGTTTGGTGGGTGCAGATTTCCCCTTAAACCTGTCCCAAACCTGCTTTGGTGAAATTGGGACGGCAGCATGAGGAAGTGAGAGCTGTTTTACACCCCAGGCTTTGGGAAATGAAGTGTTTCACAGAATCCAAGGATTTTTTAGCCCTGCCTCCTCTATAAGAGCTGTAATTGTTTGGGATAACTCTGTAAAGATCTGAAAGTTGACAGGCCTGATGTACATACTGTCTGCTGGGCTTTTATTTTTATGCTTTGTCCTCTTGGAGTCCGGGGGCCTGTGATTCATCCTTTATTGGTCTCCTGTCGTTACCCGCTCCTGACTAGCTCTGACAGCAGCCGAAATGCCTTTAATTGCAGCTGTAATTGGACTGCTGAGCGGGTTTACAGAGAGGGGGGCAGTGTTTGCCCTGTCAGTGTGTGCCTGTGCCAGGGCTGCAGTGTGGGGCTGGGCTGTTTGGGCGCCCTGCAGGACCCTCTGTGCCCCCCTGCCCGAGCTGGCATCCCCTCCTTGCCCTGGGCCTGCCCATCTTTCCCCTCTCTGGCTTGGGGATATTGCAGCTTTGATTGCAGATACGGCACACAGCATCCCCTGCTATTCTCAGATGCGTTATTCAATGATTTACAATTCATTCCGAAAGCAATTTTTCTTTTGTAGAATAACAGTGGATTTTTTTTTTCTTTTGTAGGATAATAATGATTTTTAACCATAAAGCTCTATCTTCACAAACAGGACTTTAAACTTTCAAGTACACCTAATTTATTCATTTATTTATAAAAAGCTGGTCATTGACACCTATCTTCAATAGTTAACTGATCATGACATATTCCAGGAAGGCAATTCGTCCCAAAATCGGGATGTCTTTTTGTGTCTTTATATTATTGAGACACAGGAAAATGAAAATTGAAGTATAAGGTGTCAGCCAGCCATGGGTTTTTTCCAGCACAACCAGGAAAATCTAATGTCTCTACTATCTGCAGTTCTGGATTGGGGTGTTTATCTCTTTCTCACTCAATACTCCTGCCTGGAATTGCTGGAAACATCCAAAAGGAGAGGTGAAACAAGCTGCTTTTGTTTGTGATATAGCTGTAAAATTACCTGTCTGTTTTAAGACTGTCCCCAGGAAAGAAATGACAAATATTGTCTGGCCTTTCTGAAAGCCTGCTTCACCTTCTCACCAGCAGTAGCAGGACAGACCTTGCTGCTGGCTGGGCTGCTTTTCCCATTTGCACAGACCTCCAGCTGTCACCTCTAGGAGCAGCAGGAGCAAGATCTGCCTTTTTACAGGCGTTCTGCTAAAAGTGGGTGTTTCACAGGTGCAGCAAGAGAGACATGCTTGGGTTCAGTGTGGGAAGGCTCAGCTTTTACTGAAGGCAATTTTGCCATATAACGGTAACTGCTAAGCAATAATTAGGGCAAAAACCTCACCAGAATGAGCAGCAACTTTGCTATGGGTTTTATGTAAAATCTGCAAGCAGGTATTACACAAAATTCTATACAGACCAATCTCCTGCTACTTCACTGTGTGCCATTTTTCTGCTGCTTTGTGAATCATATTGTTTGGCTACTCTAAAGTTGGAAAATATCCATTTGACAGAACTAGCCTGGACGTCAGCTTTATGTTGCATTTAGATTTTTGTGGACTAATCTTCTGGTAGAAATCAAAAGGCATTAAAGTGGATTTTATAGCCTTATGATAAAATTAACTGGAAAGGCTCTTACAGCTTTTGTCAATAAGCTAATCTGGTTTAATAATATGTCACTGAACTTTGTGAAATACTAGACCACATACAGACCTCACTTACACAAATTAACCTCAAATTTATTGCTTTTGAACACAAGTAGTCCCATTGGATTTGCATTAGAATGTCCTTGCTCTAGTCTGGGCAGGAAAGCCTCCATTTTCATTGCACTACCAAGTCCCAACATTTCAAATGCAATAGAAAAATGAAATTGTCTATTGCTTTCTAAGACAGTTTTACTCCAGTGATTTAGCATTTAGCCTGTAAATGTCTACAGAAGTTTAAAAAAAAGAAAACTGATGTGACTGTATCACAAAGAAGTAATGTATTCATTTTTACTCCTAATTTAGCTGCCTTGCAAGATATTGGCCATTCTCCTTCATTTTTTCTTCCTGAGTGCGTTTGCCTGGATGCTGGTGGAAGGATTTCATCTTTACAGCATGGTGATCAAAGTATTTGGGTCAGAAGAAAGCAAGCACTTATATTATTATGGAATTGGATGGGGTAAGCATTTAGTAGCTGCTTACTTTAAGTCTCCTCACTATAGGACGAGATTACATTCAGAAGCACATTTGAAATTGTCATCTTACGATCACAGTTTGCCTTACTGAGAGCAGGTCTGTTGGGTGAGAAAATGCAGAATTGTTCTGACTGCAACCAGACCTCAAAAGGTGCAGCCCTTGAGCCAGCCCAGTGCAGGGAAAGCCACAACCTCTGCAGACCAGACCAGACCAGACCCTGATTGTCGCATCAGTGCAGCTCCGAGGCAGGGAGGTCTCACCTCACTGCTGTGCTCTTTCTTTGGCTCCAGCTCACACCAGGGGCTCGTTCCATCTGCATCCTGCAAAGTCACGCGTGAAAAGCGGGCACAGGAGTGTCAGGAGATTGCATGCGCTGGTGCTTTGCTGCAGCAAAGCTTTCTTGTCCCTCCGATTGCCGGTGACAGAGTTTGTGGTGCTGGATGCTTTCCCACTTCAGCCACTTTCCTTTCCTGCAGAAACTGCCACCGAGTGAAGACTTGGTTCTGAGCTGTCAAATGACAGAAATTCCATAATTTCCTGTTATTTGTTGCCCAGATCTGATGTAACACAGCAGAGGAAAATCATAGAAAATGAACTTCCCAATATAAATTGGGAGAATATACTCATCCCCACCAAGCAAAGTAGATATTTTCATCATTGGAGGGAAACACACTTTCTGTTGTGTCTAGTGCTTTATCTTTCTCAATAAATTATCATCTTTCTCAATAAATGACATACTTAGCCTTTTAGAACTGATGTCCTAAAATTGTTTTGAATTATATGCCACAGAGTTTCTACAGCCTGTTTTTTTTGTATTCTTTGGGTTTTTTCCTTGTAAAGAAGTCACAGAAGCTTTCAAAATACAATGCTTCTTAATTACTAAGAATACCCCATATTTATAAATATATATTTTCATATAAATATTTAAATATCTATAAATGTGCTTCTAGCTGCAGTTATTAAAGAATGAAAATACTTCTTCCAAAAATGATACTTCTGACAGTACTGGAAAACTTTACATGATTTGTGAGGATGATAGTGGTAAAATTAAGCAGAAATTGCCTGTCAGAGAATTTTGCAAAACCCTCATGCAGAAAACCTAAAGAATTAAAAAGAAAATTGATACTTTAAGCTATCATGTCTAATACTCTGTCTGGGACCTGTTTATTAAATTCTGTAAGATGATCAAAGCTCAAACCTTCACATTTTATTAAATCATACAGGAATTAGCAGGCAATCATTTAATATTTGAAGGGATGGCTTTCACTGCATCCAGAACTGCTGGCAGTAAATCTCTGGCCTCCTCTCCAGCTCCTGGCCTGGAATGAAGTGGCCCAGCAGGACCTGGCAGTGGTTAAAGGAGGTTAAAATAAGGCTGAAACTGCTTCTCATGTAGCACTGCTTGGAGAGCAGGAGGCAGAACGTCCATAAACCAAACCCAGGCTTGAACAGGACTGTGGTTCCCAGGGAAATTAGTGCTGATCCCGTTTAACAGTTAAACTAGTTCTGTATTAAAAAGTCATTTTGTCTGACATCGGTTAATTAATGTTGGATTAAACAGCTGCAGGAGGATGTCAAGTTAGACTAAATTTGAAAATGGCTCTGAGCTGTTCATGCAAAATTTAGCAGACCCTGCAGGGCTCACTGGAAGATGTGCTTTCATTCCTAATAACGCCTCTGGATCTGCCTTTCCCTGCCCTGCTGCAGGCTGCCCACTGGTGATCTGTGTCATTTCTGCCTCCTCGTCCCTGGACAGCTACGGAGAAAGTGGCAAGTGAGTATGGAGACGCCTGCTGCAGGTGCCGTGGGGCTGGAGACCTGTGAATGTGTTAACTGGGCTGTGGTGCTGCACATCCCCCTGAGGAGCGGAGCAGAGAGGCTGTGAGAGGACGGCTTGTGTAGGGATGTTGTTAAACACAGAAGACTCGTGTCTGCTTCTCGCAGAGATGATGCACAGAAAGCTCCTGAGGCCTTTCCCTGCTTTTCGCTCCTCGGTGAGCTCCCTGCTCAGGGGGAAAGCTTGCACCAAGATGAGAGAAATCATCGACTAATGATATTCAATCTAACAAAGAAAACTGCAGTTACACACCTGAAATCTGGAATGGATAATATCCAAAACGTTGAAAATTAATTTCCTTTCTGATTTAGGAAAAGAAGAGCAAATTTATGTGAAAAAACACCATATGATTTAATCCTAAAATAATTCACAGGTGGTGAAGTGAAATCAGGGCTGTAAGAAGGGCCTGGTTATGTTTGCCAGCCCCTTCCCCACCAGCAGCCAGGGGAGGCAGGGGGGCTGCAATTTGTCTCTGGCTGCAATGAGATAAATTCACTGCAATGAGACATTTCAGAGCGCTGCAGCCCTGAAACAGCCTGTAGCTGAGGACACCAGAGCAGCAAATTGCAAATAAAGCATTTCCTCTATTCCCATCTTCGCACTGCTGGGAGGGTGGGCTGGGGCAGGGAGGGGTCACTGACTGTGTGACAAACCCAGGTGAGACCCACCTTGGGTCCCAGTGTCAGGGGAGAAGGAGCCCTGTCCTGGCGGGCTATCATTCTCTTCCTTCCAAAATTCATCATCTTCTTGCACTCTCCTTTGGCTGTTTTATAAGTTGGGGGTTTTTTTAATTGATAACATTACTGATTAAATGACTATGTGTTTCCTCTGGAACAACTCTGCTCTCCCTGCAGCTGCTGGCTCTCCCTGGAGGACGGAGCAATCTGGGCTTTTGTGGCACCAGCCATGTTTGTCATTCTGGTAGGTACAGGACAGCGGGCTGGGCAGGGCTGGCAGGTGGGTTTGTTGGGCTCAGGTAAGGCTGTCAGGTGAGTTTGCTGGGTTCAGATAAAGTTGTCCAGGTGAGTTTGCAGGGCTCAGGCAGGGCAGGTTGGCTGGACAGGGCTGCCCAGGTGAGTTTGCTGGGCTCGGGTAGGGCTGTCCAGGTGTGTTTGCAGGGCTGCTCAGGTGAGTTTGCTGGGTCCAGCCCTGATGAGCTGCCCCTTCCCAGGGGCGCAGGGTCACAGCTGCAGGGCTGGCACACAAACACTGCACAGCAGGCGGAGAATGGTGCTCACACCCCCACAGCAGGTGGTGAATGGTGCTCACCTGTTGAATTGCAGGGAGTTGTAGCTGTGCTCACTCCAGGGGTCAGCACCTCAGTTTGCATTCCAAGGTGTGTAGATATAGATGATTGGAGAGCAATTAAAATAATCTAATATTCAAATGTCCCCTGCTCACGTTAGCATTGCTTTCTGGCCATTGCTGAGCACCAAAGGAGGAAGTGAGATGCTGTCAGTGGCACCAAACCTCCCCAGGCTGCTGCCCAAGCACAGTGGTCACCAAAACACCCCAGGTAGTGAAATTCTCACCTGAGCCAGCACAGCCTCCTGCAGTCTGCATGTGCAGCTGCCTGGCAGAGAAAGTGAGAGTTTAACTGGCTGGCTCTGACTTATGATATATAACATTTGTGCAGCTCAAATTATGTTCTTGTAGGGATGCAAATACTTTCAGAAAGAGAAAGAGTGAGCTCACAAGGTTGATCCACGTAGAGCAATTTGTTAAATAGTCTAAACCCAGCTCTGCCCAAAATAGCAGCAAGAGAGCTGACAAATTACCTCTCTGGGCATTGGAAATTCCAGCTGAAAAATGTGTTGGTGCCTATAGGGAAATAACAGGGCTAAACACTATCTGGTGTGTGTGCATGCGTGCCCGTGTTCTCTAAATAAATTAGCCACCAGCTGCATAAACTAGCATTTAAGTCTGAAAATACTTCTCAAAACGCAGTTTTTGACTAGTTCAACCAGCAGTGTCTCTGCCAAGAAAGAGGATTTTGCTGTGAGGAAAACAGGGGGCTGCTCCTTTCAACTCCCACTCCCCAGAGACCAGGCCGACACAGCCCATGCACATTTATCCTGCCCAGCCTCACAGGCACCCCAGACACCACGGAGCCTAAAGCAGAGGGATGTGGAGGCACTGTGGCTGGGGAGGAACACTCACACTCTTTTCTAGGCGGTAATTCACAGAACCTCCCAGCCCTACACAGATTCCCACACCAAATATGCTCCTTCCTTGGGGCTTGAGTCAAGGGATGTGATGAAGGAAATAGTTCCCTCTATAGGTATGTCTTTTGGCTTCTGCCTACATCTTAAAGCTTTGAGATCACTGTCCCCCACACCCCAAACACAGCACACAAGCCTCTACATCACCCTCCTAAAGCAGCTTCACAAAAAGCCCTTGCAGTTAATCTGCAAACCAAACTGAGCTCAGCCCAAGTGTCTGGGACGTGTCTTCAGTCGAGGGGGAAAACCCAACCTGACAAAGCACCTGAATTTTTGGCAGAAGACATTAAAACTTCTGGCAGAAGGTTTGTTTGTTATCAGCCCTGTGCTGCCTGGGTGTTTCCATGGATGGGGCAGAGTTCAGGGAGTTCTGTGTGCCTGGAGCAGAGGCTGTGCTGCAGGCAGGGTGAGCAGCACACCCTGGGCTGCAGGGGCAGAGCCTCTCTGTTTCTGGATGGGGCAGAATTCAGGGAGTTCTGTGCCTGGAGCAGAGGCTGTGCTGCAGGCAGGGTGAGCAGCACACCCTGGGCTGCAGAGGCAGAGCCTCTCTGTTTCTGTCCCTGTAATTTGGATTTTCCTGGTGCTGCAGTCCCAGTGAGCATTGGCAAGGCTCTGAGCACAGCACAGAAATGGCTTTCTCAAATGTGCTCCTTACCACCTCAAAGGATTTACAGAGGTTATTTACAAAATATGATCTGGTAGCAATAGGGAAGATGGGCCCAAGACCATGGAATTTCACCTCTTATCTCTTAAAGCTGATTGAGCAACAGGCACACTTGAGGAGCTGGCAGTTCCACAGGATGGCCCTTGGATAAACTCAAGAGCCATGGCAAAAATGAACTATTACAGATATGCTCTGATTCTACAGCACGTGATGATCTGCCCTTAGAAACCTAAAATAAAAAAGGGGTCAGAAGATTTGGAAAAAAACCCCAAGAAAAAAAAAAATCATTATAATCAAATTTAAATACCTTTAATTCACCCTCTTTTCCTCAGAGTTAGAATATTTATGTCAAAGTAGAGGATGATTATCGAGTCTTAACTGAGGAACAGCACTTTCTTTGAACTCTTCTCTTTCTTTTTGTTCTGTAGTTCAGGATAGTTTTGTTCTACCCTTGTTCTTGACGCTTTGTAGCTGATGGGCAGCTTTGGACAGGAAGGGGGAAATATGTCTTTCACCTTCACATTGTCTACCTTTTTCTTCTTTAAATCCAGGGTCTTTGCCCAGCAAGACAATCTTTGCCACATTTCCTTTAAGAGATAAAGATTTCCTTCTTCCTTCACCTGTGACTCCAGCACAAACTTTCCTTTGTTGAACATTTTCAGTGTTAGTCTTTTCAAGATTTCCTGCTTTTCTCTTGGGAATTCTTTTCATTTTATTGATGTTTCTGCTGGACCTGACATCAAAAAGAGCGGAGCCTTTGAAGAGCACAGTTCAGATTTATCATATTTTTCTCACTGCTCCTTTAAAATGGTCTTGTACCCAAGATTATCTGATCTGCAGTCAGGGTATTGATCTACAGTCAGGGTATGTATTGATTTACAATCAAGGTATTGATTTACAGTCAGGGTATTTACTGATTTACAGTCAGGGTATTTACTGATTTACAATCAGGACATTGATTTACAGTCAGGCTACTGATTTACACTCAGGGTACTGATTGACAGAGTATTGATTTACAGGCAGGGTATTGATTTACAGTCAGGTTATTGATTTACACTCAGGGTACTGATTTACACTCAGGGTACTGATTTACACTCAGGGTATTGATTGACAGAGTATTGATTTAAGTCAGGATATCGATTGACACTCAGGATATTGATATGCAGTCAGGATATTGATTTACCGTCAGGGTATCGATTTACACTCAGGGTATTGATTTGTGTGTGGGGATCCCGAGCGCCTTGGCCGTGGGCAATGCACCCATGCGGGTTATCCTGAGCAGGCAGGGGAGCTGCTGAAGGAGGGAGGGAAGCTGTGGGGTGCGGATCAGTGACACAGCCCAGCCCTGGCGGCCTCTCTTGGCACATAAAGCCAGCACAGAAGGCTCTGGTTGCTGCTGGGCTGGTGCCACGCCCCAGGGCAGCCTGCCCCTCACTCCTGACCAAGGCTCCTTCCTCCTCCTCCTCCTCCTCAGGTCAACATCGGCATTCTCGTCGCTGTCACAAGGGTCATCTCCAGGATCAGCGCAGACAGCTACAAGGTCCATGGGGATGCTAACGCCTTCAAGTAAGTTCTTCTCATTGAAATGACAGCACCACTCTCCCAGGAGCACTGCTACACCATGGGCTGCTCCCAGAGCACTGCACCACCCCTCTTCAGAGAGCAGACACTGTAAAGGTGTGCTCCCCTTGAATGCAGCCATTAGCCTGTGTTTGTTAAAGCTGCACGGGGTGAAACCTGTGGCTCAGAGGAGCTGAAGTGTTTCCCTGCCTATTGCAGGAAACAGCATGTGCTGATTCATTGTTTTCCCTTTTGTAAATGGAGACTTTCCTCTTCCTGCTACGGTGAAAAGCTGAATTTCACAGAGCGTCATCAATCTGTCCAGGGTTATTGCAACTCTTCTGCTCCTTCTGAGGACAGACCTTGCTTCTAGCCCCAGTTCAGTATAATATTTAGGCATATGCTTATCCTTAAGACTCTCTTGACATTGCAAAGCACACAGACTTACACTGGATTTGAATGTGTGCCTGAATTCAAGCAGATCTTTATTTCATAGTGCCTGGAGCCCCTTGGGGTGGCGGCCTCTGGGAGTGAGCCATCTTTGAAATAGCACTAGCAAGTCTGGAGGGGAAATGGGGAAATGTAAGGCGCTCACGGAGATACGTCTGAATTACAAGGACAAATTCTGATCTCTGAAATATACAGAGAGATTACATGTGTGAGGCTAAGAAGATAATTTAATATATCAGGGCTAAGTTAAGATGTTGAATATTCTGTTTTGTATCTCCTAAAGAAGCTTTAGTCCAAATAGAGAAATGACACTGTATATAAACAAAAGAATATGGAACTTAGGTAGCAGAAAAATGTGATGATGGTTTGTGTTTAATGTTTCTGAGGCACAGTTTATTGTATGATAAGGATTTGGTGCCACTGTTCTGAAATGGTATCATAAAAAATAATTTTTATGCTTGGATTACTTATGTACTTTTGAAATTGTCATTAAGTTTTAAATATTGGTGACAGTTACCTAATTGAAGTTAGTTTACTTATTGCACACTTATCCAACAGGAAAAGAAAAACAGTAAATAAGTCTACACGAAAATCAATATGATAATTACACTGTAGTGAAATGAGAAGCCTGGGAATTAAAATGACTGTTTCAGGTTTGGCTGAGCTCCTGTGACCTTCAGAAATACAAAGGAAATATCGAAACTTAGGAAGCAAATAACTCTACGTTGTCAATGCCCATTTCTATGCACTGTTAGAAATATGAAGACAAAGACACATGTCATAAGTACCAGAGGAGCTACAGAGGTTGCTCCATGTACTTGGATATTTCACTGTATTGCAAGGAGTGGATTCAATACACACTGTACCCTGCACACTAACACACTTTATTTTATTTAATCTGTGTGTGTGCACATAAGTAAATTGATTTATGAATGATTGGTTGAGGAACAAGATGTAATGCCTTTAATGAGGAGCGCATGTTCTTATCCCAGATATTATCAGCTGTAGATTTGGAATGGGGTAACTCTGTACTGAAAATGAGACTCCTCCAGGTACCCTGGCTGAGAGATGCTCCTTGTGCCAAGGCTTTTCCACATTACAGTTTCAGGATTTGACCTAACAAAAGTTACAGGGAGAAAAGAGGAGAAAAAATGTTATCAGAGGGTTGATACATCTGAAAACTCGAACCATTAAGTTATTAAGTGGAAATATGCTCTTACAGAACAGCTTTCCTCCCAGAAATAAATTAAGTCAACAAAATATAATAGACGGTAAATAGAACTTAAAGAATAGTTCTTCTGTTCATATCATTAAAGAAATGGGTCCTCAAAAGAAGTTTGAAAAGAGAAGTGCATAAATACATGTTCAAATCAGATCCTGGGAAGTGTTTATAGCCTGATTTAACATAGCAGTGGGGCATGATGAAGTAGAGTTTTATGTACAGAGGATGTCATGGGGAGAATAACCGATCTATTGAAAAAAAGATAATGATAAAGCCTTTATAGCACAGAGTTGATATGCTAGTATGAAATCCTTGTGTGCAGTTTCCAAGAAATAAGAGAACAGAGCAGAGCAGGGCTCTGATCTGACGGGTGCAGGGGCAGTGTTCTCACGGTGTGCAATCCCTGTGGCTCCAGCATTGCAGCCCCTGGGAGCTGATTAGAGGCTGTTAGCCCGGGAGGGAGGATGTGCACAGCACAACAGACCGGTGACAAACACGGGGGCCAGAAAAGCAGAAAGGTTGGTAGCTCCAGTGAGAAGGACTGGATTGGCTTTGGATCAACAGGCTGAGCAGGCTGAGGGAGGGGTCCCCAGAGGCTGCAGAATGCTTTTTGCACCCCGAATAAAGGGGCTGCCAGGCACCCCTGGGTGCTGCACCCCGTGGGCATCGCTGAGGGCAGGGCTGGGCTGTGGCAGCAGCAGGTTATCAAGCCTGCTCACTAAGGCACAGCTGGAGAAGGTGGCACGGTGGGGTTTGGTGAGGCAGGAACGCTTTGGCACCGTCCGCAGCAGCCAGGGGGGACGTGAGGAGAAGCGGCTCCCTCAGGGCTGGGCTTGTGCTTTCAGACTGCCAGAGGCAGAAAATGGGAGCTGCAGGGCCAGGAGCTGTGGGGGAGAACCTGCTCAGCCCAGTGAACCTGGGGCAGAAAGGAAGAGGGACTTCAGTGCTGTCCTTTCCAACTGGGGTGGGACGTACATGGTCAGACAGGAGCTGCTGGGGCAGCAGGGACAGCAGGTCAGACAGCAGGACAGACACCTCCCCAGCAGGGACAGCAGGACAGACAGCAGGACAGACAGCAGGACAGACACCTCCCCAGCAGGGACAGCAGGTCAGACAGCAGGGACATCAAGGACAGCAGGTCAGCAGGTCAGACACCTTCCCAGCAGGGACAGCAGGACAGACAGCAGGACAGACAGCAGGACAGACAGCAGGACAGACACCTCCCCAGCAGGGACAGCAGGTCAGACAGCAGGGACATCAAGGACAGCAGGTCAGCAGGTCAGACACCTTCCCAGCAGGGACAGCAGGGACAGCAGGACAGACAGCAGGACAGACACCTTCCCAGCAGGGACAGCAGGTCAGACAGCAGGACAGACACCTTCCCAGCAGGGACAGCAGGACAGACAGCAGGACAGACAGCAGGACAGACAGCAGGGACATCAAGGACAGCAGGTCAGCAGGTCAGACACCTTCCCAGCAGGGACAGCAGGACAGACAGCAGGACAGACAGCAGGACAGACACCTCCCCAGCAGGGACAGCAGGACAGACAGCAGGACAGACAGCAGGACAGACAGCAGGGACATCAAGGACAGCAGGTCAGCAGGACAGACACCTTCCCAGCAGGGACAGCAGGTCAGACAGCAGGACAGACAGCAGGACAGACACCTCCCCAGCAGGGACAGCAGGACAGACAGCAGGACAGACAGCAGGACAGACACCTCCCCAGCAGGGACAGCAGGACAGACACCTTCCCAGCAGGGACAGCAGGACAGACAGCAGGACAGACAGCAGGACAGACAGCAGGACAGACACCTTCCCAGCAGGGACAGCAGGACAGACAGCAGGACAGACAGCAGGACAGACACCTTCCTAGCAGGGACAGCAGGACAGACAGCAGGACAGACAGCAGGACAGACACCTCCCCAGCAGGGACAGCAGGACAGACAGCAGGACAGACAGCAGGACAGACACCTTCCCAGCAGGGACAGCAGGACAGACAGCAGGACAGACACCTCCCCAGCAGGGACAGCAGGACAGACAGCAGGACAGACAGCAGGACAGACACCTCCCCAGCAGGGTCACCCCTGCAGTGACCCTGAGCTGGGGGCCTGGCAGCACTGACCAAAGGGGCAGGAGCCCCAGGAGGTGCCAGTGCCACCTCTCTCCCTGGTGGCTCAGGTCTGTGAGCACCTGGCTGAGTGGCCTCGCACCTGTGGATGTTCCCAAAGCAGAAATCCCAGCCTGCAGGTGTCACAGAGCAGGCTCCTCCTCAGGCTGGCCTCTGGCAAACTGCAGTCACACTGACGAGGATAAACCCCACTGGTGCTGGCAGAGGAGCTGCCCTGCTCTGTGTCCCGGGCTCTGGGCTCAGTCGGGCTGACACCAGCCCTGGGCCCTGCTCCTTGTGCTGATGTCCTCTGTTCAAGGCTCCTCTCGCCTGCCCCAGGAGCTCTGGTTTCCCCCCAGGGGCAGAGGGAAGCCCAGGCTGGGCTCAGACACCGTCTCTGCACGTCTCAATCCAGGTGTGGTGGCTCAGCCACACCTGAGCGGAGATCACCTCGGGAAATCCTGACAACAGAGACATTCTGGGTCGTGATGGGATCGGTTAGCAAGGGTGTTTATTGCTGGAGAACTGCTGCTGCTGCTGGAGCATGTTTACTTTCTGAAAAATTAAGTTACTTGGCAATGCGAGAGGATATTACCAACAAGGCTTGTTTCTCTTGGCAACAAGCAGCAATAAACTGATGTAATTATTTAGAGTAATTGTTCCCGATTTTCCATATGGCAGCAGGTCCTCTCAAATGCTGACTCAAACGTGACTGCAGAGTGTGCACCAGGGTAGCCAGTGCTCTGCTTGGGAGGCAGCAGCTGGCAAACCTCAGGTTTAAAAAGCCAAAACATAAAAGAAAGTTGTGAGCAAAATTCCTTTTAGTGTCCTAAAGTGAATTTTTTATTCATCTTCCCCATTTCCCCCAGAACAAAGTGCAGCTCCTGGCTTGTTGGTCTCTTCAGGCTGTCACAGAGGAGACATCAGAGACCATCCTGCTGAGCACCCTGTTCTGCTCTCACCGCCACTGCTGTGCTCCTGTGCTTGTTTGAAGTAAACAAAAACAGTGCCCCTAAAAGGAATTTAACATGCTGCATAAAAGACTGAGCTTTAATGATACATAAACTGCAAAATACCCAGTAATTTAAGGCAAAATGAATACAATTAAACACTTTATGATCAGAGACACTAATTAAAGCATGATAGACTCCTGTAACGGTCTGAATAGTAAGTATTTGGTCACTAGTAATTTTCTTATGTGTGAAAATAGCTACTTTTTTAGTGTC